ATAGCAGTTTTCAAAATAAATGATTCTAAAAGGACACCCTATGCTTTTTTTTCATTCCTATTGCAAGTTTTATACCAACATATTGTGATGTATATCGTTATCGCCACCCTTCACAATACATATCGTGATATGAAATTTATGCCATATCGTACATCCCTAATATCTATCTATCTCTCTCTATACATATATATATATATATATATATATATATATATATATATATATATATACACACACATACATGCCTCAGGTATTTGTTTAAACACTTGTTAAACTAACAGTACAAACAGATTTTTTTTGTGTGCGATTAGATGCCATAGATCAGTTCTAGTTAGTGATCCAATAATCCAGGCATCATAACTACAATGCCCTTAATCCTGTTCTCCTACATACATTGTTTACTATATTGTTTACTTTTATACCCGTTTGCTTCCTGCTGTGTCAAAACTTCAGCAGTAAGCAAACATGTTTGAGATCTGTATCAGGTGACATTTTTTCAACAGAGCCCAAAAAAATTAATACATAACACTTTGAGAAAAACATGTTTCATGTTTTTCATTTTTGGCATTTTTGGTACTTCTGATACACATTTAAGATGTAATAACTGTCAAAGAGTGATTTACAATAAGACCATACATAAAAAATGATAGACTACACTTACTATAATGACTTGGGAATGGATTGAATTATATATATTTTTAAAACAAAACATTTCTACCACAGTTTAATCTGACATATTGGCCGTTACACTTCTGTTCTCTAGACATAATTACAGTGAGCCCATTACATCAGTTATTCACGCCAGCAGAGCTCAATCCACTTTGCTTCAAATTGGTTATGTGTTGCCAAAATGTCTCGTTAATTCAATACTATTGGGTCATACTCTCAATATTGTTCTAACTAAATCATGATGTGATTACAGGGCCGGGGTGTTAAATGAGGCACTATTCAAATCAGCCTCTAATCGTTGCGTCTGTTAGCAGGTGGCCCAGCCAAGCTGAGGTGCCGGCTGGGGAGCCTCACATCTGCTAATTGGTACAAACAGGTAGCAGATGTGTGGTGCCACCATGGAGCCGCTGCCAATTAGACAGTGAGCGTCTAACCGCAGGCTGCCGCACCAGGGAGAGTGATTTGCCCGAGGCTCAGGAGCTGAGCTCAGGGAGAGCAGATAAAGATTTGTGGTATGGGTACAAAGACATCCCTTTGCTGTCCATTCCCACTCATTACATCAAAATTCCAGTATTTTCCAGTCTGACCTGTTTGGTTTGTTCAGGCCATGTGTGAGTGGACCGCTGCCATCTGCAAGGTTTTAGATGGCACAGTGACAGTGATGGGCCCAGAGCCAGCCTGCTAAGGAGGAACTGATAAGTCAACAGGGTGTTTCTGTAGCTGGAATTATAGGTTAACACATGTATGATGACATCATGGCTTTATGGTAATTTAATTTTTAAAGGATTGTTCCAATGTTTGGAACTGGGATCCTATGAACACATTGTGAATTAGGATCTTAGCTGATGTAGGTATCCTTTTGAACTACAGTACTTCCATTTAGAGAAATAGTTTAATTCTGACAAGATCCAGGCTGCTGTTTAAACACCTTATATTATATTATCATTGTTTTGCGTACATCTTAGATTCTTGTATACTGTATTCTTTTTTAATAGTTTATATTGCTATTTTTACTGTAAGTGTAACTGGGACACTGGTGCCCATATCCAGCTATCACTGTGCGAGAGATGGGGGACACACCCTGGACACATTGCAAGTCCATCACAGGGACAAAAAGAGACAAACAATCATTCACACTCTCACTCACACCTAGGGACAATTTAGAGTTACCAATCAGCCTAACCTATGTTTTTAGTCTGTGGGAGGAAACTGGAGTACCTGGAGAAAACCCACACAACACGGAGAGGACATGCAAACTCCACCCAGAAAGGCCCCCGGTCCGAGATTTGAACTTGGGCAACCTGCTCGCTGAGAGGCAGCAGCTCTACCAACTGCGCCACCGTGCTGCCCTAACTGGGACCTTGAGTACACAATTTCATTCCACCTCATGTACCACATGTGATGCGAATGACAGTAAAGTCACCTTGCACTTTGAACCTTGGATTAACAAGATGAAGACGTCTGAGCAATGCCAAGATCAAAGGAAACCCTATAAACAAATTAAAGGCCTAGTGTTTCTTGAAATAATGCTTATTGCCGCCAAATTTCATGCCAAGGTTTCTAACAAAGATGATCTTACATTGAGAAATGGCTGTTACCATTTTGGTTAAATCTTGAAAATACCTTGTACAAGCTCTCACATTCAGAGTATATGATGGAAATGTTTCTTTGCTGCTGTTTGCCACATAAAACTTTAATATAATTAAAGTGAAAGTGTGTATAGTGTTACATGGATTGATTGTATACAGCTTTGGTTGTCATCTTGAGTTGATTGACTCCAAAGATTGATCAGTTGTAGTTGTACATCCAACCTACAATTAATGACAGAAGTTTTAGGCAACAATTTCACGCAATGAGCAGTGCATGGATTAGGTGTTGTTAATAACTTGACCACTAACGCACCAAATTTTAGCTTATTATATCCTGATGCATGCTCAATAATCCAGGTAGAAAAATCCAAAAAAGTTCAATCTGGTCCTCTGGACATTAAAAAAAAAAAAAACAAAGCAAAAAAATGTAGAAACGTTTCGTCTCTCATCCGAGAGACTTCCTCAGTCTGAGGTGCTGTATTCAGCTCAGTCTCTTAAATAGCACCGTCTCAGAGTGGATCAACCAGTTTTGCTGCTGACAACCAAAACCAGCTGATCACATGCTCAAGAAGGACCATCAGCATAACAATGGATCATTAGCACACTGATGGCTGTTTACTATTCTGGGTAACCAAAGTAGAGCATAATTTTAAATTAAAAGGGACATGGTGGAGAAAATGCGCAGTTTGAGTCTGTTCATTTACTGACGGTAAACAAAGTCCGACTCGCACCGCAGCTGCAGCTGAGACTAAACGTTTAAATCAGCACAGCACCAACACAACTCTCGTGAAGTTCAGGGTTATTTGACACTGTCCTGCCCGTTCTGCGAGTTTAATAGACAGTTACTTCTTACCTTGCGTTGCAAACTATTTCAGCCATTCGGTTTCTTTGGAGACTTCGCTGTTCCTCCCACCCTCTCGGTGAAAAGCTACGGCTGGAACAGTTGACTTCTGGGCAATGTAGTTCTTTTGACTTGTTAAAGTGAAGGCTTACTGAAAGAAAACTACAAAAAAGCTGCACCTTTTTTGTTTGTTTGTTTAATTTTCATTTTTGGTTACTGATCGGTTCCTGCTCCTGTCTGCTCCCGTTAGCTTTTCAGTCCGGTCCCGTCCCGGTCACGTGAGTTATAATGAGGTTGACTCCGGTCCCGCCGGAATCCGTCCGGAATCACGTGACCCGCGGTACTCCCGAAAAAATGTCATCCTCTACTAAGCAGTCCTCATTACTATATTAAAATTTCCTTTGAAGAATCAATGTGTTTTCACTCAGTCATTCCACTGACTTTAATGTAAGATGGAAAAGATGGCCCATTGACTACCGGATATATGGGACTGTTTATTTATGTTCTTATTATTGTTGCTGTTAAGTTGTGTTGCTGTTGGACATGCATTTTTTGACATTTTACACTACATATAATTATACTGAAATGCCAAAATTTCAATATTTGTTTAAATTTCTTATATACGACTTGCATATTTGTTATATTTTGGGTTCTGTAATGTTCTTTATACAGAATGGAAGGTTAAATAACTGTATAATAAATAAATGGACTTTACTTAAATATGTATTTGCATTTCATGAATTGAATTGTATTATTGCATTTGGCCCGAGTCCTCTGATAGATTTTAAATTTGGCCCTGTCAGGGAAAAAGTTCACCCCTTCCCTAGCTCAAAGGTCAAGATCACAAATCAAGATCAAACATTAATCAATGTTCTGTTTGTCCTGCCCATAACTTCTGATCCTCTCAAGATCATTTAATGAAACTTGATACACTTGTGCAGCATCACTAGAATGAGTGGCACGCACACTTTTCATCATCCCAGCTTCAAGGTCATAAATCAAGGTCATATGTTATACAAGGTTTTTGCTTGTTCAGGCCATTGCTATAGATTGCTGTATAATAATTCTGTCAATGAGCTTGTCTTGATTGCAGTACTCTTGTTTTATTGTTTTTTCAAACTTGAATTGTTTTGATTCCTTCTTTTTGTCTGCTTAACATCAAGAACAAAAGATGATCGTTTGAATGTTTCTGTTGGCTGCCTACTATGCTGATATGATCAGACGTTTGACAGACTGTCATGTGGTCCCATTAGAGATCAACTGTGTAAATCTGTTTAATGTGGAGCAGTGTGTGGAGCACTAGGTTTACGGCCTCGCCCCCTCTCCCTTTCATGGTAAAGAATGCTTTCTAGTGACTATTACTGTGGCCGCTGCTCCATCGTGGAGGTGACAGAAGTTTTCTGGTTAATTAGTTCCTGCTCACTGATTTGATGTCTGGAAGTCAAAATAATCTCAGCTGCTAGAAGCTGGTCCCTCATGTTAAACATCCAAATGACTGACTGGGTCACAAAGTCATGTCAGTTTCTCCAGGCCATCATGTTAGTCTCACAGATCACACATTAGAGAGTAATTATGTCAGTGTTAGAGCATAGTAGTCTGTTTTTTTTTTTATTATTATTTACTTGACCGCATAGCTCTTACAGCAGTTTGTGTGATAAGGGAATCTGTAGAAACGAGTGGTTTGCCATTTATTTTCTACCCAATAAAAAAATTATGCGTACACTTTGTGCATTATAAAAAGTATTAGCTCCACTAAAAGTAAAAAATGTTTTATTATTTTTAATTTTATTATGTCTGCCCCCACTGTCATTTTTTGCAGTGTAATTTCAGAGTTGTTGAAGTTGGGCCGGGTAACAATTATAAGTGTTGGTAAAACAAACTGTTCCTTGTGTTTTTTCCAGCTGAACATCCTGGTGGATACAGGCAGCAGTAACTTTGCAGTGGCAGCAGCTCCACACCCATTTATTACTCACTATTTCAACACTGAACTGTGAGTACTGTCAACACTGGGACAAAATCTGCACCTTGACAATTCCATGACGATATCGAGTCCCACAGCTCGTTATGTCTTTAAGTCCACTTTCTTGTTAAAATGTGTCATAATCTTGTCAAAAAAGTCTAGGGCTGTGTGCTTATAAATGAAACAAGACAACTGCTCTTTAGCTTACTGACTTTTACAATAAAGCATTATTTTGTCTTCTTTAAATTGTCTTTTTTTTTTTAAGCACTTTGGTAAAAGCTGCTGTTTTAAATGTGCTTTATAAATAAAGTTGACTTGACTTCTATTCTCCTGTAATAATTTAATTCTAGTGTTCTTTACATTCATGTACCACTATTCTCGTGCTTTATTCTTCCTCCGTGTCTAGTTCCAGTACCTACCAGTCAACTGGCCAATCTGTAGCTGTTAGGTACACCCAAGGCAACTGGGAAGGTGAGCTGGGGATTGACCAGGTCTCCATACCAAAGGGCCCAAATGGATCCATCACCATCAACATTGCTGCCATCTTGTCATCTGACGGCTTCTTTCTTCCTGGGATCAACTGGCAGGGCATCTTGGGACTGGCCTATCCTTTGCTGGCAAGGGTGAGACAAAGGAACTTCAAGTTGAAACTAAAAGATGCATAGATTTTAGTTTTGTTAGCTATTATAGATTTGCTGATATTGGATAATCCCAATTTCTCTGAAAGACTTATAACAAAATATACCGATCTGATTGGTCTATAGAGCGCACCAGAATATAAGCCACGCAAACTAAATTTTAAGGGAAAACAAACAATTTTGTATATATAAACCGCACCTGTGTTTAAGCTCCAAGTGTTGACGTTGTAACATGAGTGACAGCACACAGCTACTGAGAGAGATGTGCAGGTCTTGTTGTAGATCAAGAATCAACCACCAGATGGCGTTTTATAGACTTTATCTTACAGTTCAACACACACAGAGTGAACCTCACAGGTCTTCATGACAACTACCTTACTCACTCATGGTGCACATACAGTCGATGTTTTTTTCAGAACAGTGCTGGTAACACGGCTGGTGGAGAAAAAGACATACAGTAGCCTACCAGGACGTCATTGACCACTATATTCCTCCTGCTGCAAGCTTGCACTCCACGGAACAAAGTTGCTCTGTGAGCATGTGAGTCTCTCATGCTCTGTTCATGCAGGGGAACCTCCCCCCCCCCCCCTCTCCTTCCCTTCCCATTTCATCGGTTTGACTGTGACTTGTTCGGTAATTTCATTGGTCAGATTTTTTTTTACCTTTATTTATACAGGTGGTGTCATTGACTAACAAGGACTCACCCCCTCAAGTGAGAGGTGTATTGGGCAGCTATGTGAGCAACCGGGTGTGACTAAGCTAAAAAAAAATTTGGCCGCATGAAGCTCATTAGCCCATCAAACAAAAAAAATGTAGTTTGCTGGCCCTGTGATGGACTTGTGACCTGTCCAGGGTGTACCCCGCCTCTCGCACGGTAATTGCTGGACATGGGCACCAAAGACCCCCCCGTGACCCAAAAGAGGAAGAAGCGGGTATATATAATGGAGTAATTAATTTGCTGCTGCATTGTATAAGCCATAGGGTCCAAAGCCTGTGGCTTATAGACCGAAAAGTATGGTATGTTGTTTTCTGATAACATTGATGATTATTCTGCTGCATCAATCTTGCTGCAGTGTAGTTCCACATAGGCCTGTCGCAATAAACAAATCAATTAATTGCATGATTAATTAAAATTATCTACCTCATTTTCATTTATCGGCTTTATTGTTTCTTCGTGTCTCCCTCTTTGTACTGAAGACACTGGATGACAAAAGACTCAACTCCGGTGCTCTTCACTGACCCCTCCCTTTCTCGTTTCTTTAAAATCACTTTTAACGATCCAAAATCACGTTTTTGGATCGTTAAAAGCAGCTAAGCTGAGAAGCTAAGCTACGAGCTAAGCTAACAGGCCGACCTCGGGGGGGGAGGGGAAACCTCCGTCTTGTCAAAGCTCCAAAATTCACAGTTGAAACCTGTGCCTTCGTGTAAAAAGTTTTTTTTTCTGCAAAAAGAAGCTGAGAACTTTACTGATTTTTTTTTTTTTTTTTTTTATTAAAAGCTATGTGTAAAAAATGTTATGATAAAGAGCTCAAACCAAACTGAGCGTCCGCCATTTTAAGAAACAAAAAACAGGAACAAGAAACAGCCCATGTCATGTCAAGGGGCCTCCCTCCCATTTTTCTTAAAGAGACACGCTGCTCGCACCCTCACTATCCATCCTTCGGTTCAGTCTTATACTGCCATCAAGTGGTCAAAAAAGGTACTACACACAAAAATTAACCAGCATTTCTTTTTAAATTTGACAATAATTACTAATTATTGTCAAATTTCAAACAATATTATTGTTTATCGCAATAATTTCTGAGACGATAGCCCAGCAACATTTGTTATTGTGACAGGCCTAGTCCCACAGCTCAGTTTGTGGAGGAGGACCTTTAAAGTATCATTTACTGCGTCGTGGGTAAATTATTAACCCTGTACTTTAGTCAAAAACCTGTAGAACATGTTTGAAGGATTTCAAGTTTTAAGGATATATCACAAAAACGAATGTTCGAGACATGGTGGCACTGATTTTCTATCAGTCAGTCCGTTGTGTTTTTGATATGTGTGTCGGTTAAAAACAATTTCTGTCTCTGCCTCGTTTTTCCTAAATGTTTATCTGTGCAGAACCAGAACCTGTTGGACCTCCAGCCAAACTCCAGTTGTTTAGTGAGATCTTGCACAGCATGTCAAAGAGAAAGACTAAGTACTAAAGAAGGAAGAGAAAAACAAAAGAAAGATGATTTAATTGAAATCACTAAACGACACAGTTGAGAAAAGAACAGAATGTTCTGGAGTAAAGCTAGACTCAAAGATCTGCGTAACTTTTCAAATTCAGATCTTATCTGAATGTAGTGTTCACCTTTTTCACAGCAACATAAAGGTTACGATTCATTTTCAGTAGATGGGAGTTCGTTTCTATTACATGAAATTTTTCATCAACACCCTCTCATTTTGTTGTTACAATTTCATCTTTATTGGTTTTTATACTTCTTCCATTTCGGATATTTAGAACCCTTCCATATGTATACGGGTGAAAAGTGACACTCATAAATGTGTTTAGCTAAATGTTACTTTAGTTCACTGGTCTGCAACCTTTGCAATAAACAGAGCTATTGCCACGTTCCTTCTAATTATGATGTCCAGAGCTGCACACAGTACTGGCAACTGGGTTGTTTGACATGGCTTTTCCAGCCAGTGAGGTGATATTATAAAACAAAAAATGTCACTATTATTAACATTTATTGATATTTTTACATTTAAATACAAAATAAGAGACCAGAGTTTTGTAAAGAAAATTTAAAAAAATAATAATTTTAACAATTTTCTAAAAATGAAACCACTGACCTCTGCAGACCGATGTGAGTGCTCTTAGTTGGTAAAGCATCAAGTATCCTACTTAAGGCATAAGTTAAAGACTGTATAAAATTAGGCCAGTTTACATCTTTAAAGACAAATTAATTTTTCTTTTACTTTGACTTTGTTTTTTGTGTTTTATTCTTAGTGTTATCAAAGCTACTCACCATATTCCTTCTCAGCAGCTTCTCTTAAAGAGATTCCAAAAACATTCTGGTGGTTTCGAGAGAGAGATCACGCTGAGACACTGGAAGTCGACTTAACAAAGTGGCTAACGAACTAATAGCATGATGTAGTCCACATGTTTTATGCCTTGTATTTTTACTATTCTTCACATATTTTAAAATGACGGGAAATCTGCTGAAACTAGCCATTTTCATTGTTGGTAATAATTTAAATAAAATTCACTTTTATTTTAGTTTTGATCAAAACCTGAAAGAGCCGCTGCAGAGGGACCAAAGAGCCACATGTGGCCCCAGAGCCACAGGTTGCAGACCCCTGCTTTAGCTTAATGTAATATTTTGGTCCTAATGAAACTAGAGTAATGTCAGCAGGGACCAGAACAATAAACAAGTTGTTTTTGAGTGGACTGTTGCAGCGGTCGGGATCAAAATCCAGCAACTAAAGAGTAAATTTGCTGACACCGACCACTTCTCCTGAGCGATCAGGTTCAGCTTGCAGGAAGACTTGTTGTTGTTCGTGTGACATACGGTGCAGGCATGAACAGCTCTCAGAGAAATAAAGCATCAGAACACGCTTTCATGCTCGCATTAATTACTGCTAGACCAAACTTTGATTTGTTTAAACTCCTTATGACGTTAAAATGTGTGAAAAGTTTATTTTGCAATTTACAAAAATAATTTTGGAATACAAAAACTGTTTGACGTTGGAAGCGTCAGTAATCCTTACGGATTCTGCAGCAGATGTGTTTGTGTGTCACCGTTTGAAATGGGATGCAGTGGGTTTTAACAGCAACAACTAAGCAGGAAATATAAACTTCCTTACAGCTACTTGCAACATGACACGTGCACGTTCAAGTAAATCCTTGTCTACAAAAAATGCACTTTGCTTTTGACACGTCTTTTTTTTATTATTGTGATCTAGAGAATATTTTTGAGTTAATTATTGTTTTTTGTATAAATTGACAGAAAATGTGGTGGTGTATTTCAGTGCATGGGTTTGATGCTCCTGAACGTGTACTGTATTGATTGTGTGTCTGTTTGTTTTTATACTGTGGTAACAAGAGAAGTAAAAGAGTTTAAGTTACAGCTCAAAGAGCAGTGTTTAAATAAATACATGGAAATGACCGTCTTGTCTTTGTCAGCCCGACTCGTCCGTGGAGCCCTTCTTTAACTCGCTGGTGAAACAGCTGGGAGTTGCCAACATATTTTCCCTCCAGATGTGTGGGGCTGGACTTTCAGCCACCAGCACCACTGATCCACCTGCTGGCAGCCTGGTGAGTGATCAAGACAGCTAGAGGGTAGTTTGATTAATGAACAAAATATAAAAGGAATTCTTTCACAATTTGCCACTTTTTTCATATTGTGACGTAGTTCTGTTTCACATACAGAGGTGCTTGAAACTGTGTGAGCTCAAATTTTCTATATTTCTGCATAAATATGACTTAAAACGTAGTCCCAAAAGTAGTTGAAGAGAACCCGTTTAAACAAATGAGACAAAAATATTATGCTTGGTTCATTTTCCTCAATAAATAAATGACCACTATTTCATATTTGTGAGTGATAACGCGTGTGAACCTTTGTTTCAGTACCTGGTGTGACCCTCATGTGCAGCAATAACTGCAGCTACATGTTTCTGGTAACTGTTGATCAGTCCTGCTCACCTGCTTGGAGGAACTTTAGCTCATTCCTCAGCACAGAACAGCTTCAACTCTGGATGTTGGTGGTTTCTTCACATTAACTGCTGCTTCAGGTCCTTCCACAACATCTGGATTGGATTAAGGTCAGGACTTTGACTTGGTCATTCCAGAACATGAACTTTATTCTTCTTGAATCGTTCTTTGGTAGAACCACTTGTGTGCTGAATCATTGTCGCTGCATGACCCACCTTCTCTTGAGATTCAGTTCATGGACAGATGTTCTGACATTTTCCTTTAGAATACTCTGATATAATTCAGAATTCATTGTTCCATCAAAGATGGCAACTCGTCCTGACCCAGATGCAGCAAAACAGGCCCACATCATGATACTACCACCACCACATTTCACAGATGGGATAAGGTTATTAGGGGTGAACAATTTTGGAAATGTTCTAATTGTGATTTTTTTTTTTACATCAATATCGTGATTGTGATTTAATATGTGATTATTACTCAATTTCTTCTTCTCGTGTTGTTCAACGAACACAAGCAATAAATCTGTTTCAGTTGCAAGAAACTCCACTGTTTTCAGCTCCGCTGCAACTCTGTTTCTTCATTTTTTGTATAGCTCCAGGATAGCAACTTGGCTAAAATTTGTGCGCGAGAGTGTTCTGTACCACTTATCCATTGTGTTTACCAAAGCTGTGAACCCAGGCTTGGTCACTATATTAATGGGCTTCATGTATTTTGCTATGAACTCTGTTGTTGCTCTAGTTATTTCCATGTGCCATTTAGAATTGTGTTCATACGGAGGAGGTCCTGCCCCAAGTGGAGGAGTTTAAGTATCTCGGGGTCTTGTTCAGGAATGACGGAAAAATGGAGCGTGAGATCGATAGGCGGATAGGTGCAGTGTCTGCAGTGAAGCTGGCGCTGTACAGGTCTGTCGTGGTGAAGAGAGAGCTGAGTCAAAAGGCGAAGCTCTCAATTTACCGATCGATCTACGTTCCTACCCTCATCTATGGTCATGAGCTTTGGGTTGTGACCGAAAGAACGAGATCTCGGATACAGCGGCCAAAATGAGTTTTCTCTGCAGAGTGTCTGGGTTCTCCCTTAGAGATAGGGTGAGAAGCTCGATCATCCAGGAGGGACTCAGAGTAGAGCCGCTACTTCTCCACATTGAGAGGAGCCAGTTGAGGTGGCTCAGGCATCTGGTTAGGATGCCTCCTGGACACCTCCCTGGTGAGGTGTTCCAGACACGCCACACCAGGAGGAGACCCAGAGGACACACTGGAGGGACTATGTTTCTCAGCTGGCCTGGGAACGCCTTGGGATTCCCTTGGAGGAGCTGGACCAAGTGGCTGGGGAGAGGGAAGTTTGGGCCTCCCTACTTAGGCTGCTACCCCCGCGACCCGACCCCGGATAAGCTTTGCTCTGCTCCACTCACTCGCAGTCACGTAACCAGATCACGTGACCAGTCAAATTGCAGCCTTTTGCGATTAGATCAACAAGCTCATAAAGAAGGCTGGCTCAGTTCTGGGGACTCCTAGAACCTTTGGAGATGATTGTACACAGAAGAATTCTTCATAAAATGAATAACATTATAGACAACCCTCAGCATCCTCTTCATCAGACTGTCATACAACAACCGTGTCTTCAGATGTGCTGTAGAAAAGACCGCTACAAGAGATCCTTCCTGCCCACAGCCATCAGCATCTAGAACAACTAATGAAACCAGGATGATGACTTACAACAACATTTAATTTCCCTCTGGGATTAACAAAGTATTTTTGAATTTGAATTGAATTAGAAAATCTCTATCATATCGCAATATTATTGCAAATGCAATTAATTGTTCAGCCCTAGTTCTTCTGCAGGAATGCAGGTTTCATTTCTCCAAACACACTTTTCATTTAAACCAAAAAGTTCTATTTTGGTCTCATTCGTCCACAAAACATTCTTTCAACAGTCTTCTGGTTTGTCCACGTGTTCTTTAACAAACTGCAGATGAGCAGCCATGTTCTTTTTGGAGAGCAGTCGATGTGAGAGAGGCCTTCAGATGTTAGAAGTTACCCTGGGGTTCTCTGAGACCTCACTATTCCACACCTTGTTCTTGGAGTGATCTTTGTTGGTCCACCACTCCTGGGGAGGGTCACCATGGTCTTGAATCTCCTCCATTTGTCCACAATCTGTCTGACTGTGGATTGGTGGAGTCCAAACTTTTTACAGATGTTTTTGTAACCTTTTCCAGCCTGATGAGCATCAACAACTCTTTTTCTGATCTCCTCAGAAATCTCCTTTGTTCCTGCCACTTCCACAAACATGTTGTGAAGATCAGACTTTGATAGATCCTGTTCTTTAAATCAAACAGGGTGACCACTCACACCTGATCATCATTCATTGATTGAAAACACCCGACTCTAATTTCACCTTCAGATTAACTGCTAATCCTAGAGGTTCACATACATTTACACTCAAATATGTAATATTGGATCATTCTCCTCAATAAATGACCAATTATAAAATGTTTGTCTCGTTTGTTTAACTGGGTTCTTTTTTTATCTACTTTTAGGAATTGTGTGAAAATCTGATGTTTTAGGTCATATTTATGCTGAAATGTAGACATTTTTAAAGGCTTCACAAACTTTCAATCACTACTGTATGTAAATGTGTAATATTTGTCTGATACCAGTTCACCATAAACATGTTGTTCACTGGTTTCTTCTCATGCAGTGATGATCAAAACCTTGTGGCTCCAATTAAGTAGTGCGTTTTTAAAAAATATAGTAGTAGCTGCTATCTGCCCTGTCTGTGTTTCTCCTTTGAAAGTCCAGTCTGGTTAGAGAGGGGCTAATTAAACTAAGATAGTACCCTGCTGGGAGCGGGTCTGTCACTGCTGTGTGGACGACCTTGGTGCCTCCATCATGTGACCCAGTGATGCAGGCAGATGGATTAGATGGCAGAGTGCTTGTGTGTGTTTATGTACTGTGATCTGCCAGAATGTGAGCAGATGGATGAACCTTTGTTACAGTGAATAAATTATGATTTTTTTTTTTTTCTTCTCCCTTCTTCCTTGTGTAGATAATGGGAGGAGCTGACCCGACGCTGTATCGGGGGTCAGTGTGGTACACCCCTATAGTAGAGGAGTGGTACTACCAAGTGGAAGTGTTGAAACTAGAGGTTGGAGACCAAAATCTCAATCTGGACTGTAGAGAGGTAAACACTAAACTGCATCATCACTCTGATTATCTAAACTTCACCCCAACATTCAGTAATCATCCTTAAATACTAGTAACTCGTCTGTTTTTGTATAAAATACTTCAAACTGGTTGGACGACTGAAGTCCAGCTCTTATGTGTACAGATAAATGTTCTTGAGTCTGACCTGTTGTGCTGTTTGCCTGCTTGTTTCGTTAGTTCAGTGACTACGTGAGCTAAGAAAACCCCACAGTTCTTCACTTTCTCTCTCTTCCAGTATAACACAGATAAAGCTATAGTTGACAGTGGGACGACGCTGCTGAGGCTTCCTGTCAACGTGTTCAGTGCGGTGGTAGAAGCCGTCACACGCAGCTCTCTGGTACGCAGCCTTCTCACTACAGACAATGAGACGTGTTGTCAGAGCAAAGAGGAGAATGGTGCACACTCACTGCTTAAGGGCCAAGTAGCTTTAGGTGGAAGGAATCTGAGGGATTCTTGTGTTACTTTATTTTTCAAGCCACAAAAATTTATTTTTAATCTCTTGGAAGTGCACTCAAGGTTGATTTGAGCATTTTACAGTTACTGTACACGCATCCTTGCAGAAGAAGGTAAATGAAACATGAAACTGACCTTCTGTTTCATCTTTTTATCTCTCTCTCTGCCTGTCATCCTTTGTTCTACTCTTTTTTTTTTTTTCCTTATTGATTTAGATCCAAGAGTTTTCTTCAGGCTTCTGGGATGGCACCAAGCTTGCATGCTGGATGATGGGAGAAAACCCCTGGAAGTTTTTCCCAAAGTTATCCATCTACCTAAGAGCTACCAACACCAGCCAGTCCTTCCGCGTAACCATCCTGCCTCAGGTAGCTGGATACAAAATCAACATAACACTTTCTCCAGAGCAACAACTTCAACCTCAGTTTTTCGTTTTTCAGCTGTACATTCAGCCGGTTACAGACGTGGACGGCACGCTGAACTGCTTCCGCTTCGGGATATCGTCTTCAGCTAACGGTCTGGTGATTGGTGCCACAGTTATGGAGGGCTTTTATGTCGTGTTCGACCGCGCTCAGAAGAGACTTGGTTTCGCTCTCAGCAGTTGTGCTGGTGAGGGTTCACACAAACGCACAAATACACACATACACATAAAAATATTGTTGCTCACCTTTTGGTAGTGATGGCCTAATGAAGCTTTTCTAAAGTGCCAAAACCTCAGTGTTTCCCCTACCAAAAAAGGTTAAATCGTTTCATCTGGACCAGTTTCTTTGAGGGAGAAATGTTTTGTCTTCCATCCAGAAGACTTCCTCAGTCTGCGGCCTGCCAACCAGATCTGTCCCATAATTAATTAAGTAATTATCCAAGGAGGGCGCCTTGCCCTGTCCACAGAACCGAGTCCCCTACCTTCCACAAACACCCCCAGTCAACAGTTGACTGCACTGACGTAGCGCTAAGCTAACGGCACGCAATGCAGATGCGCTAGCTAAAAAGCTACAGCGGTAGCGCTCAGTCTCCCTCACGCTGAGGCGTTTCCTTCAACATCTCTCAGTTGACAACTGTTGGCACAAACAGTGCTCATCACAGACATGTCTCCATCTCCATATACCTTAACACATGAAAGCCTGACATGCTTTTCAGCCACAAGAAAAGACGTTTTCTTACATCGCATTGGCTCAAAGATGTATTAATTAGGGTGGTGATGTGCAAACAATCAAAGATCGTTTTTGTTCTGCATGGAGAAAACTTTATAAAGCAACTTGTGACAGTTTGTTTTCCAACTTAATTTTTTTGGTCTGACAATTCAGAAATAAACAGCTGAGCTTCAGTTTCAACAAAAAAAAAAAAAATATATATATATATATATATATATATATATATATATAGTTATTTATGTGTATACTGTATATACATACATTTATATGTGTGTGTGTATATATACAGTATATATATTTATTTATTTATATGGAATACGAAGACACCTGCATCATGAAGGACCCCACTCACCCAGCACACACACTTTTTGCCCCGCTCCCCTCAGGCTGGAGGTTGAGGAGCATGTAGAACCACTAGACTGAGGAACAGCTTCTACCCTGAGGGTGTTAGACTCATGAATCTCTAACCAGAATAATCACTGTGAAAAAATCACATCATGTTGCTGCTGATCTGTTTCATGTTGCTGCTGATCTGTTTCATGTTGATGTGTTTATCCGTGCTCATCTGCTCACACAGACTCATGTTCGTGCTGCTGTTCAGCGTATTGTTTTTATGCTATTAGTGCTTACTGTATTTTTAGTTAATGTTTTTCTTAGTTAATATTTTAGATCTTATTACTGTTTTTCTTATACATTTTATTGTTGGATGTAACTGGGACCCTGTGTACATCATTTTGTTCCACCACATGTGGTGTGAATGACGGATAAAGAACCTCTGACTCTCTGATTTGGTCCACAAGAAAACAATTGTTTTAGGTAAGAACAATTGGCAGCAATTTTTATTTTCCAAAATAGTTATGTTTGCTATCACGAGTGGAAACTCGTTATTATTCATTGGTTGCCAAAAAGTATATAGGTGTATAAAAACCAGCTTTACATTAGCCTTCCATTTGAGCGGAGTAAATCTTCCTCTGAGGTTTTATGAGTTGGCGATTCTTTCTTGTAATCTCGTGTCTGAAAGAGTCGAGCCTAAAGCTTCCACCTGCTACTAGAGTCCTTCTTGTTTCTCTTTGCAGTGAGTGACGGGGTGGCTCTGTCAGAGATCGCAGGACCCTTCACAGCAGCTGACGTGGCGGCCGACTGCTCCAGCAGGTTGTTGAAGGAGCCTCTTCTCTGGGTGATCTCCTACGCCCTGATGGCGATCTGCGCCGTGGTCCTCATCATCCTGCTGCTCGCGCTGCTGCTGCCCTACAGGTGCAGAGACCGCTCCGGGGAGATCACAGACGAGTCCTCGCTGGTGCGGCATCGCATCAAGTGACTGAGAGGGAGCGGACGAACGAACACAGTGAGTGGACACAGCCCGTCCACAGCTGTGGGGGTCAGTCTGCACTGACATTTAATGCTGAGTCTCAGCCCGAGTTAAGACTGCTCTCAGCAGCGTGACCCATGGATGTAGATGGACAGATCAACTCCCTCTGAAGGGAAGCTCCACCAAAACACTTCAGATAACAGCTGTTAACACTGATTCGTGTTCCTGACTGTTTCTTGCTCAGTGGTTTATTTCTTATTCCTAATGTATTGAAACAATTCATGAAGACACTTTCATACAGAGAATGTGCACTAACGACAATGCACTTAAGCCTTTTGGTTATGGCAACAAGTTTTTAGTTTGATTTCCAAAAGGCAAGATGCGTACGCTAAAAGTTTTGTTCTTGCTGTGAGTTCTTTGTGAGCCTCGTCAGGCTCAGTTTACTCCCTTTAAGGCTGTGACAAGATATTTTAAAGAAAAGTACGAAATGGCTAAAATAAATTCAACTTTACAGGTAAAATAAACCCAGAATAGCAACAAGACACATCACCGAGTGTTAGACAATCATAAACGAGTAAATGGGAAGTACTTTTACAGTGTGATCAACATTTTGAAGAGGCACATTTGCTAATGGGTGAAAATATTGTAAAAGCAAACTTTTTTTTTTTCTGTTCTATGCCAGACTGTTGGACCTTCTGATGTTCCACTTTTCAGTGCAGCAAAGTTTTCTTGTCACTTTATGGAAGTTCAACTTATCCCTGGGAATAATCTGTAAAGTGACAAATGTTGACTGTAGTGCCTTTTTGTCGCAGCTGATGAATGGTATCAGCAAGCTGAGGCTCCTGAAATGCACTTTGTTTCTAATGTTGATCAAAGGTGTGACGCAAAGCAGCAGACCAATATTCCCTCAGTCTGCTCTGCAGTTTAAAGTAAATCTGTTTACATGCATGCTTACATGGCTTTGAATGTTGTTTCAAATCATTTGCCTTTTAGCCAAACGTTCAAAGTTATTTATAAATGCACAATTTTTAAGGATTCCTTGTGTCCCAAGACTAAACTAACTGACCTCATGGCTAAATAGTCTGCAGTTTTTTTACAAAACAAACACCTTCTGTGCTAAAGTTGCCTTTACACAAAAAGACGTTGCAAAAGGTCAGAGTGGAAAACGTGGTGAAGTTTAAGAGAATTGAGCGACGCTCAGTCACAACATGTTGAACTGTTTATTTAAAGGCACACTTGAATATCTGTATATTCACTTATTTATAGTTTTTGTTTCAGTGTCAATAAATGTAATTGTTCTGTAAATAAAACTTGTGGCAAATCAACATAAAATGGTAAATTAATAAATATTTTGAAAATCTGTGAAAGAAACTTCATGTGATTTGTAACACTTTGTCTTCGTCTTTGTGGGTTTGCGGTACACCTCGGTTTGCAAATGTCCTCTATCGGAGACTGAGACCTCACAGTCCAAGAAAAACTACCTGACATTTTTTACATTTACAGTTCACAAGAGAAGATGTAAAAAATGACTCCACTGACTACGGTGACGTTATTTACATGAACACTCCTACAAGCACTAGGGCTGTATACCGAACCGAGGTTTTTTTATGGCACCGACCAAACTGCTTCGGTCGGTGTGTGGATTGAAACGTCACTCTTCTTTCGGTGTCAAGTTTCGGTATTGGCTGTAACGTGACACATAGTTCTATTTCGTATAGACTTCGCCCTTTAAGGCTATCGCTAGTGGGTTTATCCCTACATGTGCAGCACAGCACTGAAAACTTTAGTCCATGCCCACCTGCTGTGTGTGGGCCTCATCTCCAGCCTGTATAAATTACGATGAGACCGGGTAATCGGCTCCCATGTTTTCTTCAGCCAGCTAGCTAGCACAGTCAGAAGAACGAAGAAGGAAAAGTTGTCCAGCTTTGACCAGCACAACCTTTGCTAAGGATGCCTGGGTCTCCACCACGCCAACCTTCTGCTGTCCCGATGAGCTCTTCCTCCCCGAGGAGAAGCAGACGAGCAGCCTTGTTCAAGGTAAGCGCCGAGGAGTGCTTTTCTGTGGTGGGCCGCTACCCGCTGGACGATGCCATCGCCGTTTCTAACGTTTTTTTCCTCGCGGTAATCTAATGATTTCTTCGAAAAATGCGATGTTAGCAGCAGCCCCACTGAATGTTTTTCCATGGTGGGCAGCTACTCGCTGGACAACGCCACCTCCTTTTCTAACGTGTTTTTTTCTTGCGGTGAATCGGATGATTCCCTCGAAAAAGGCGTTGTTGGCAGCAGCTCTGCTGAGTGTTTTTTTTTTCTGTGGCGTGACGCTATGCGCGGGACGACGCCACCGCCTTCTTTGACGCAGAGTCATGCAGTGAATTGAATGATTCCTCCGAGAAAGGCGATGCGGAGCTGTCCCCTCCCTCCTGGAGAGCGTAGTGACGAAAGACGAGCGGCCGAGTGGATTCTCAGCCACCTCGGATCTTTCCACGTCGGCGACCACACCGCTCCCAGCCGTCGGCGCCCTCCTCTCGGAGCTGCCCAGCATATTCCAGGAGGATGTTAACACAAGGGACTTGCCGTCCCTCACCACCCTCCGCCCTGATCGGATGATCTGGCGGCAAGGTTGGCTCCACCCCGGCTCGTCGCCCTGACCCCATCTGGCCTCGCTGTCCAGCATTGACCTCACATTGGAACGAGGCTGCAGCTGGGCCCAGCAAGCTGAAGACATTTGTCTCTACCTTCGCCTCCATCTCCAGAGTGGAGGGTTTTACCGATCGGTGTTTTTCCCTCAGTCCCACCCCTGGGACCAAGCCTGGTGGTGACACTTGCGGCAAAAGCTTCCAGGATGGACCAGCAACCTGTCCCTCCAGAGAAGCATGATCAGATGGTGACAAGGTCTCCAACCGAGCTCACCAATGCTCATTCCAGATGGCCGCAGCAATCAACAACGTCGCCCTGCTGGCCTACAGCATCTCTAAGAGGCTGGAGGAAGCAGACCTGCTGGAAGAGACAAAGAGCTCTCTTTAAAAAGCTGCTGATATCATCTTAACCATGTGCCACCTGCGGTCTGCCTGTCCTGCATCGCCGCCTGGATGACCATGATCCAGAGGACCACTTGGCTCTGCCTCTCGCCATTCTTGTCCGAGAGGCTGCAGAAAGACCTGCTGGAGGGCCCCATCACCCCAGAGGTGCTGTTCGGGGCCAACTTCTGGACCATCCTTGAGAAATCGCAGAGGTCTGAGGAGGTCTCAGAGACTGTACACCATCTGGTGATGTCACAGTCCTCCGGCCGCTGAAGGGACCACCTTGGCCAGCAACAGCAGCAGAGGCGCTCCACAGCTGTGGCAGCGACTTCACGTCCCTCTCCTCCGCTGGCTCCTACGTTCGGTGACAGAACAGTTCTTAATCACCCACTGATGAAGCGTTTCCTGAAAGGTGTACGGAGACACAGACCAGTGTCACGTCCACTAGCTCAGTGAGACCTAATGATGGTCCTGCACACTCTGGCCAAAGCTCATTCTGAGGCTTTAGATCAGGTTTCACTTAAATTTCTGTCATTTAAAACAGCCCTGCTGTTAGCTCTGACGTGGGCAAAGAGAGTGAGTGATTATCTGCTCTTTTTGTTGCTCCCTCGTGCCTCAGAATTCAAGCTGACGGCAGTTCAGCTGTACTGCGTCTTAACCCCGCTCTGAAAAGCATCTCGGTTCCTCCCGGGCTGTAGGACCGACCAAATGCTGAGAAGAACTCCTCCCAGAGCAATGGCCACTCCTGCCAGCAGACTGCCGAGCTCCTCGTCGCTGCGGACAGCCTACTGTAGGTGCTGAGGGATTGAGAGTGATAACCTTAGATGGGTTTTATCCTCTTCCTCATAATTCTGAGGAGGAAGCATCATCTCACCTCCTTCTGTCCCATGCGCTCATTTTTCATGTTACGTGGCGCACACGACCGCACTGCGCCACTCTCAGCGTCTGTTCGTGCATTACTGGGACAGCTCTTCAGGACGTCCTCTATCCACCCAGCGCCTCTCACACTGGTTTTGTGAGGCTATTTCTGAAATTTACAGTTCGTCTGGACTGGACCCTCCAGAGAATCTCAGAGCACATTCCATCAAAGGGTTTTCATCCTCCATGGTTCTGCATGGAGTGATGACAGTGGAGGATATTTGTATGGCAGCTGCCTGGTCATCGCCATTTACAATTATTCGTTTTTATTTACGTGATGTTTCTACTTTCTCCATGACCCATTCTGTTCTCAAGGTCCTGACGGAACGATTTTTATTTGTTTCATGGAGCCTCACTTTTGAACTAACACCTGCCTGCATGCAGTTGCAGTGTGAGATATTTATTATCAGTCACAAGTTCATGACCGCTGATTTTATTGTTCTTAATCTGTTCATCCTGAGGAGCTGTTGGTCTGCTCTGTTCATCATTACACTGTTACATTACGTATCCTCCGTTGTTCCTATTCACAGCAGCAGGTCTGCTATCTCAGCCTTTTTTCCTCACCAGAGATCTTTCTCCGGTGCACTCCTGCGCATGGAGCACGCAATTACGCACACAGAAGGCTGAGTGATGAAATGTTTTTTTGTGCAAGCAGGTGCTTCTTGTGTCTGAATGGACCCAGTGAGGCATAGACTACATCCTGCTTCACCTTTAACCCACCAGCGACAGCCTTAAAGGGCAAAGCCTATTCAAAATAGAACGTTGGTTACGTACTGTAACCCCAGATTCTATGAATATAGCTGCAGTTCTTTAAGCTCTGGACCTCACTGGTTCCTAAATGACTGAAGAAAAAAGCTATTTGGGAGCCGATTACCCGGTCTCACCGTAATTTATACGAACCGTGATGAGGCCCACACAGTTGGACGTGGACTAAAGTTTTCAGTGCTGCGCGCGTAGGGATAAACCCACTAGCAATAGCCTTAAAGGGCTACGCCTATACTCATAGAATCTGGGGTTACAGTACGTAACCAATGTTTCAGCACGCAGGCAGGCAAAACACAGACATATGACAACCACCAAATCCGGAGCAGAGTGCGGTTCTTTTCTGGCATGTGCCTTACGGCTCATGACAGCAGAAGGACAGTATTGTCCCTCAGCACCTACAGTAGGCTGTCCGCAGCGACGAGGAGCTCGGCAGTCTGCTGGCAGGAGTGGCCATTGCTCTGGGAGGAGTTCTTCCCAGCATTTGGGCGGTCCTACAGCCCGAGGGGAACCGAGAGGCCAGCCGAGACTGGGTGGACGGATCGGACGGCATCTGTAGCCAGTTTCTTAGGATCCACTGTGGGATGGACCTTTACA